TAATGCGGATAATTACCATTGGAGTTGGCGCAGAGCTATGCAACTTTATTTTCTTATCAAATGCGACTTTGTCAACTTCTAATGTTTTGATTATTCATGATAATACTGTTTGGATATTAACGTTAAGGGAAACACGCAGTTACTTGTTTATGATAATCATTAATAAAAAGGCATATACTGATCGTGCAACTCAAAGTTTCTGATGGCTTGCGCCATCTATAGGAAAAAATATGAACTAATCGTTAAAAGCATCAATGATTAGTGAATGTTTATATATTCCGATATTTGACTTAAGCTCCATTGAGTTTCACACACGATCAGGAGCTGTTTTTTTCCTTCTTGTGCTGAAAAAAAAAAGGTAAGGACGGTTAGCACTTCCCTTGACAAGGATGGTCTTCGATTCCAACATATGTACAGTTAGTATTCCCTTTAACAAGGATGGAATGGTCTTTGGAAGTAACCCACATATGACCAGCACTCCCCTTGACAAGGATGGTCTTCGATTCCAACATATGTACAGTTAGTATTCCCTTGAACAAGGAGGGAATGGTCTTTGGAAGTAACCTACATATGACCAGCACTCCCCTTGACAAGGATGGTCTTCGATTACAACATATGTACAGTTAGTATTCCCTTGAACAAGGATGGAATGGTCTTTGGAAGTAACCCACATATGACCAGCACTCCCCTTGACAAGGATGGTCTTCGATTCCAACATATGTACAGTTAGTATTCCCTTGAACAAGGAGGGAATGGTCTTTGGAAGTAACCCACATATGACCAGCACTCCCCTTGAACAAGGATGGTCTTCGATTCCAACATATGTACAGTTAGTATTCCCTTTAACAAGGATGGAATGGTCTTTGGAACTAACCCACATATGACCAGCACTCCCCTTGACAAGGATGTTCTTCGATTACAACATATGTACAGTTAGTATTCCCTTTAACAAGGATGGAATGGTCTTTGGAACTAACCCACATATGACCAGCACTCCCCTTGACAAGGATGTTCTTCGATTACAACATATGTACAGTTAGTATTCCCTTTAACAAGGATGGAATGGTCTTTGGAACTAACCCATATATGACCAGCACTCCCCTTGACAAGGATGGTCTTCGATCCCAACATATGTACAGTTAGTATTCCCTTTAACAAGGAGGGAATGGTCTTTGGAACTAACCCACATATGACCAGCACTCCCCTTGACAAGGATGGTCTTCGATTCCAACATATGTACAGTTAGTATTCCCTTTAACAAGAATGGAATGGTCTTTATAACTGACCCTTATATGATAACCAGCACTCCCCTTGACAAGGATGGAATGGCCTTTGGAACTAACACATATATCTTTAGCACTCCCTTTGGCACATGGATATATCTATTAACATATGTACAGTTAGTATTCCCTTTAGCAAGGATGGAATGTCCTTTGGAACTAACCCACATATGACCAGCACACCTCTTGGCAACGATGGAATGACCTTCGGAACTAACACATATATGGTTAGCACTCCCTTTGACACAAGGATATATCTATCTTAGGATCTGATACAAATAAGGTTAGCATTCTATCTGACAAGATTGGTCCTCAACCTAACACATATATACTTAGCACTCCACTTGACAAGGATGGAATGGTCTACGGACCGAATGGTTGTCAAGATTCCATCATTCTTCTTTGGCGGAACTCAGCGATATTGACTATTTCACACAAGGAATGGGATGACAAAAAAGAGAGAGATTTTGCAACACCCCGTACTGGTCACCTACTGACGTCAGAGCTTCTCCATCACGCCCGACGTGCTCTCCAGCCACGCAGTACTTCCGTTTAAAATTCACTTTCCTGCCCAGCCCTGACCCACTGTTTCTTTGTTCCGTGCTTCCTCCGTGTGGTAGCCACAACACCAGCACGGATTCATTCGGCTTGCAATGTATGTAATCGCTCTTTCCGGGTTTTCTCTTCCTTGTCTCATTCACAGGGGGTTTACATAGTCTCGTTTAAACCACTACGATCCAGGATCGAGTCCCGCATTGGGCACTTTTTTTTAATAAAGAAAAAAGCTTTATTGTCCACTACCGATTCTTATAAAAGTACATTCCTATCAATGAGTGCGAGTAGCCAAACGGAATTCTCGTAACTTGTAATGTAAAAGTCGAAATGATATCTATACATGCGTGTGTGTGTAGACGTGTGAGGTATCTAAGAATAAATGGCAGTCGCTAAACAGTATTATCACCATGATTACCATTACTTATATTATCATGACCTCTTGTACCTTGTGTTGATTATCATTATTTAATTAGGCGTCCTGCACCTTGTGTACTTGAGGTACGTTAAAATATAAAAGAGATTATCATATTTTATATTTCCAATTCGATAAATGGGCTAAAAAAATCTTTAGTACATATTCCCTTCTTCAACTGAAGTTGCAGTTAGCGGTAAGTTAGCTGAGGATTTTTCTTATTGTGAAATATTCTCAAAGATTATTTTTGTTTCAACCTGACACAGTATATTTAATCTGTGTAACAACTTTCACCACGGAGGATGGAAACTCTTAGTGTGGAACTCCTTAGTGGTGAATCAATCCTCCCAACGGTTTCGCCAGTTTAATCTCCCAGATCGCTATAATAAATATTGTGTTGTTCACTCGATCAACCCTGTTTTTTTTTTTTTTCTTCTAGAAGGTGTGCGCGCATAATCTCAGTGAAACTGTAAAGATATATTTTTCGGTGTATATTTCCCGCCCACACACTATATACACTCAAGAACAAAACTTAAGAAAGTTGTACCTTTTACCATGTATATCCTACACCATCTACAGGACAAGAGAGGTCCTACCAGGATTGTGAATTTGATCTATGAATTCAGTCTACATGACTTTGTATAATTATACAATGGGATAATATTTAATTTAAAAAAATCATGTATATCGGGAGTCAGACAATAACTCTGAAAGATATTACAGTGTCCTTTATTGAAGACATCGAGATAACCAAGTGTGAACAACCTGTCTCCTTCAAACAAAAACCGACGACCATATCAAAGACTTTCCACTTCCTTATGTTTTGTCTTTCCATGAGTGTTTGTATATGTGTGTACATGTTTCTAGCAGGACAACAGTATTCTAAAGTAGGCAAGGTCTCAACGCAACTCTTCCCAACAATAAAATTATCGACGACGACGTTACAATGGCCAACTTTTGCGAAATAGAGGTCAAGCGATTTATCCATCCCCTCACTTCCTCTCTCAGATTTCATCTCTCTCACTGTAAAAAAAAACTAAAGTTGAAAGAGAATTGGCCAATATCACAGATTTCTCATTTGGTCCGTCGGAGAGAAAAAAAAAAACGAGGATTTAGTGTCAAAGTAATTTTGATCTGATATCAAAACGATAAAAAAAAAAGTATTACTTCAAAGAAGAAGGAATATCCGCGTGAAAGTTTTTTTTTCTTTTTTTTTTTTCAAATATCATTTTTCCTTTAAATATTGATATAAAAAGTGTTTTGTAGTATTTTTTTTAAGATATGATAAAAGGAAAAGGACACCTTGATGGTGCAACTGTATATTGCTGATGGGTCACTACCATCATTCGGGGGAGAAAACTAAACGTTGATTTTTTTTTTTTCAATTTCCACGAAAAAAAAAAAAGGTCAATACCTTTTGTCGAGATGTTTATATGTAATGTGTTAAGGTTCCTTTGTCCTTAACGAAAAAAGCCGTACTTCAGAGGACTGTATAGGTTTTCAACCACCCAGGCGACACCCCAATAGTGATTCCAATGCCTCAGCCAAAGAGAGAATAAAGCACGACCAAATATTACTATTCACACACTTTGTTTAAAAAACTCAATTTTATACAAAGATAGTCAGCGGTCAATATTTATATAATCACAGAAAATTATAACTTAATAAATAAAATAATATCCTAGAAAACTCAACATGATGTCTTGACAAAGGTTTGCGTTCAGCCAACCGAAATATTGGTTAATAAATATTTTTATTCAATCCAATATATGTCTTTTATATGACATAAATATACTTTTTGTTAATTATGGTGATAAGGAACGTGCCACAACACCACTTTTGCTAAATTCAGACAAAAGCCAACAACCTGTATACCATGGTTTCGGGACAATGTCCTCATCAGTACTGCGATTTCATAACATCCTTCTAGGTAACGTTGAGGGAAATTTTGCCGGTAGATACTGATCTATAAAATGTCACCGCTCCCTTCAAAATAGACGCTTAAACTAAGCGCCATTTGATCATTTCACGAAAAGCCTGGTAAATCTAATGAAATCAAAGCCAGCTCTTTGACTGACAAGGGCCATTAGCTCGAAACCATGGTCTCTAGGTGGACGCTTCTCAGTTTTCCAAAGCTGTTGTTGTGGCTTTGTCACCGACCCGAGGCCGCTAGTTTGTGAATAAATTCATTAGATTGCGCTTAGTTTTAGCATCTATTTTGACGAGAGTGGTGAGCATTCTTTTTTATATAAATATATAAGGTGTTGAAGTAAACTGTAGTGTTGTCACTACGACATTTTTGTAATTCCCCAACCTGACACCTGATATCTATAACGTCCTCGTGTCAATTGTGGAGTTGGAAACTAGAGCCGAGTGTGGAATCGGAGTACAGTCTTTTCAATGAGACCACAGCCTAAAAACATAATTAAACCTGGTGTCTCCTGGAGATAGTCTCTTATAAAATACTCTGTTTCGGTTAAAATACTATACAGTGGTACCTCGACATACGAGTTTAATTCGTTCCGCAACCTTGCTCGTATCTTGAATTACTCGTATCTCGAAGCAAATTTTCCCATACAAAATTCCCATTTAAAATCACAGATTAATATCTTCAACACTACCGAACCGAACTCGTATCTCGAATTTCGCTCGTAACTCAAAGCAAAAAAATCACTTGCTCGTCGGCTCGTATCTCGAAAAACTCGTATGTTGGGGCGCTCGTATGTCGAGGTACCACTGTATTTCAATCATGAGCTGAATTGGCTTAGTTGGGAGAGACTTGGACTCAAGATCTAAAAGTCCCTGGTTCGATCCTAGGTTTCGACATATTTTTTTGTTCTCTCGCGTGGTGCGACGCACCATGGCATGGTATTCTCAACAACCTAGGTTCGAGGCTGGTGTTGGTGTTTCTGAATACAACGGTAGTTCGGTATGTGGCGGATTGAACTTGAGAAACCGCTGGAATAGTTCACCACTGATGAGCTGGTCCCTGTCAATACAGTGGTACCTCGACATACGAGTTTAATTCGTTCCGCAACCTTGCTCGTATCTTGAATTACTCGTATCTCGAAGCAAATTTCCCCATACAAAATTCCCATTTAAAATCACAGATTAATATCTTCAACACTACCGAACCGAACTCGTATCTCGAATTTCGTTCGTAACTCAAAGCAAAAAATCACTTGCTCGTCGGCTCGTATCTCGAAAAACTCGTATGTTGGGGCGCTCGTATGTCGAGGTACCACTGTATTTCAATCATGAGCTGAATTGGCTCAGTTGGGAGAGACTTAAAGATCTAAAGGTTCCTGGTTCGATCCTAGGTTTCGGCATATTTTTTGTTCTCTCGCGTGGTGCGACGCTGGCATGGTATTCTCAACAACCTAGGTTAGAGGCTGGTGTTGATGTTTTTGAATACAATGGTAGATCGGTATGTGGCGGATTGAACTTGAGAAACCGCTAGAATAGTTCACCACTGATGGATGAGCTGGTCCCTGCCAATATCTCAATCATTAGACTCCTTAATTATAAGACTTTTACATGACAGTATCTGATAAAAGACCACCTTTAGGAGTTTTAAATCTTATTTTATCACACACACACACACACACACACACAAAGCTTTATAAAGACCTTATACAGATACAGACCGATCTTATACAGATTCAATCTTATTTTATAAGGATATATGCAAATTATATATCACGTTTATAAAAATAATCTATCAGTTTTACTTGTAGAAGTACAGTGAGGTTTGAAATCTTGTGTTTTATTGCTATAAAAATAAAAGAAACACATTTCTCTGTTGTTCTTAGAGTTTTTGTTATATAGATCTGAGGAGAAATTGTTATTTAAAAGGAAATATGATACTTTTGTTGCACCAGGTTGCGGCTTGGCAGGCTCTTCAAACTTGATTCTCTCCTGTGCCGGGTCTTGTATCTTACCAGAGCGTGTTTTAACCATCCTACAAATTTATATAAGTGGAGATAACTCTAAGTAGCCTCCAGAATAATCTATTTATTTCTCACATCAAAGAGAGCAGTGAAGTCACACAGTGTACCAAAATACAAATGGTGATTTTATAATACATAAATCTGTTTATAATATATATATATTCTGTTTAATAAAATAAATAAATATAAAATATAAATTTGAATTTAAAATATATAAAGAATAATATTACAAATTAAATTAAAATAGGTGCATTAGCCAAAACGTCGAATTAACAGAAGTGAGAATTCGTTGATGCTATAGCAGATTCCTCTTATAAGAAACATTTCTTATTTTGGGAAATATAAAATACTTGACATTTCTCTTTAAGTAGAGCTATTTTACTTCAAGAATATGATGCGGCAATATTTGGAGAATAAATACGTAAAGGGAGGAGGCGAAAGGCAATTATTTGATGAGGAAGAAAGAATGTATGTGGGGGAAGGCAAAGAAAGAGTACGAACAATTCGCTTACAGCAATGGTTTCTAAAAAATCTACTTTTCCACCAAAACATTTCCATAAGTGAAAAACATTGCGAGTTAGCAATTCCAAACAATCAGAGTTGGCGGATAAATCGATATATGTAAAATTGGCTTGACACAAACGGGGTATCCCCGGAGTTGGTTAATACTGTATTTCTTGAGAGAACCGAAATCTCTTTCTTTCGTTTTGTTTAAGACACGAGGATTTAAAATTGTCACAATTCCTTTCTTTATTTCAATGAAACATCTGAACGATATCTTTCAAAAATAAAATGTTACTAGGGTCTTGAAGAAAAACCTATTTTGGGTTGAAATCTCGCCATGTTTTATCGAAATAATGAAAACGTATCGGCATAGAGATTATTTCTCTCTCTCTCTTCGGTCAAGAGCTGGATGACGACGCCATCCTCGTGTCTGCCAAGTCATCCATACACAGGTTCTTTCTGAGCCTTGAGATGAGGGGAGAACGTGAAAACCCCCTTACTGTCTGGAGGAGGACTCTCCGTCGTTGGGGGAATCTCGACTGTACATAACTGTATATATTTTACTCTTTTACTTTATCCCTCTTTTTATAATTATTATATACTACTACCATTGACTTGTTTATGATGTCAATAAAATATTTTAAATCTCTCTCTCTCTTTTAAATAACGAGCGATTTTTGTGTGTTTATTTACATATCTCTGTGTTTAAACAACCAGGATTCTGGATGTCAGAGATAGGTTGTGTGTGTGTTCAGAAGGGTGTAGCGACTTGCCCAATTGAGAGTGTAGTTGACAATTTACAAATGGCGTAAGATGTTTCTTGCGACATTGCGACTCCTCCATCTGCCGTTGTCAACACCACATGTTCGGGCTGCGTGCTATGATGATGAATCATCACTCCATCTAGCCAGCTGTGGCGTTCGTTACCTCTTGCCCAGCCGTGTGGAAAGACCTTGACATAAGGACCAATTTTCCCCAGCACCTACGTCGTCTCACCTCACTTTGTAGACGTGCGGGTTTAAGGAGACCCTAGCAAAATGAGAAATTCCACATCAAGGGTGCTGCTTTTTGACAACAACAGGACATTGTGTCGTGTTTTCAACTGTAGAAGGTCTCTCATGCCCGAAAGCCTAGTGATTTGAATTACAAAAAAAAAAAAAAAACTTATTTCCCTGGAAGCCTGATATTTTCACCTTAATGGTGGTGGTGTCTTGCCCATGGAGCAGATCGGTCCAGTGCACCCTGATCACAATACCAGCCAACAAAGAGCCTTGTTCGTATGGATGTCCTCTTCTGGATTGATGTCTGCCATATAGAGGGCTGCAAGGATGGCCAGGCAACTGTATATATGGTCCTGGAGTGAGTTGGGTGTTGTAACAGCAGTTCCTGTAGGATCTAGTCATGTCTGGGTTTATCTTCATTCCTTTAAAATGTCCTGATTCTTGATACTGTTTCCGTTAATTCTCTGTTAATGTTGCATATGGGCTTTCACCTAATACAGGGGAATAACAAGTAGCAACCGAAAGTTGTATTATTATTATTATTAATTAGTAGCGTGTAGTTAATACTCATCTCCCGAAACCTGTGTTATTTTAATTAATATACAGAATATGCTTATACATACATTGTATTATTTGCAGTAGTATTAAAAACTAGTTTTCGGGAAGAAGTCCTTCGTCGACTTGATTTTCATTGTCGTATAAAATGAATTAATATTCAAATCTAAGGCAATAACACGTAATCTCTATTTAATATATAGAATTATTATACACGATTTTTTCTTCTTTTTTTTTTCAAATAAAACGAATTTTCTACCCTCCTTACTGTGCAATGGAAGTATAATTTATATCTAACTGGCCTTGTAAAGATTGTTTTTAGGAAGATAATTGTTCGATACAAATATTTATATATAATTCTACTGTTCTCTACGATTTTATCCATAATTTACTTGAATACCATGAGACAAATATCAGTGTCGCATATACACTCATGGACTTAAGGAGGAAGTAGAAAGTATTTGACATCGCTGGTTGTCTGTTTTTTTTTTTTTTTTTTTTTTTAAGGAAACAAAGGCAATTTTGTTCACACTTGGTTATCTCGTGTGTCTTCAATAAAGGTCACTGTAATATCTTTCAGAGTTATTGTCTGAAAAACCCGATATCCATTCTAAAAGGTACAACTTTCCTTTAGTTTTGTCCATGAGTGTATATCTCTAAATATGTTTATTGTTATTATTGTGAATTTATAAAAAGAATATGTAAAAATCCACATTCAATACACTTAAAAAAAAAACCTGTAGCCTTTTTTAAAAATAAAGTTACAATTTCAGGGAGGCTAATTGTGGGTAGGTTATATATCTATGAAAATAAAAGTGGACACATTTATAAAAGTAAAATCATGATATCAATTTCAGACGATGAAAATATTTGTTCCCCGCGAAGCAGACGACTTCTGTGAAAACATCATATTTCCTTGTTGTGTAAGTGTTGTCAGATGGTTTGGCTCTTTGCCAGGTTTGTACGTATTTGTTTGGTTAGCTTCTTTCACGCCTCATTCTCTGATTATCTTATCATAGAGTGGAGTTTTTACCTTTATATATCTGGCAACATCATTTATTATCAAAAGAAATAAAAAAATCGTAAGGTGAAGATTTTCTTCTAAGGTTTTTATTATTATTTTTTTTTTTATTCGAGCTTTCGAGCATTTCACACTTTACAAGAAACTCTTTGTCATACGATTTTGTTATTCTTTCTATAATAAATTTAAGATGATTATTCACCTCATAAAAAAATATTTATATTTTGGTTTGATTTATTTTTCACTGCGAGCTTTGGATCGATCATTTTAGAAGAACCTGATTAAGGAGACATACCCGTCTAAACACTGATTCACCTCAATAATAACGTATAGTTAGGTTAAAAGAGCAAAGTACGTATTGGAAATGAAAACATTAAAACACAAATGTTTCTTTCACACATAAAACAAACTTCTACTGTTCTTACTGCGATAAAAAAAAACATATATACAGTGGTACCTCGACATACGAGCGCCCCAACATACGAGTTTTTCGAGATACGAGCCGACGAGCAAGTGATTTTTTGCTTTGAGTTACGAGCGAAATTCGAGATACGAGTTCGGTTCGGTAGTGTTGAAGATATTAATCTGTGATTTTAAATGGGAATTTTGTATGGGGAAATTTGCTTCGAGATACGAGTAATTCAAGATACGAGCAAAGTTGCGGAACTAATTAAACTCGTATGTCGAGGTACCACTGTATATATATTAAGAGGGCTTGACTCATCAATGGTGAACACTTCCTGCGGTTTCATTAATTTAATCCACCAGACCGCTTTTTAGAGCTCTATATAGTGAACAATTCTGCTTATATATGCTACACTGAAGGGTGGAATCTTAGAAATGGTATTTAAGTAAGCTATGGACATAAGCCTTAGGACAGTAGAATTATATTAAATATTATATCGCAGCGTATACATATTTCTCATCGCAGTAAGGACAGTAGAAGTTTGTTTTATATGTAGATACGTGCTTTAATGTTTTCATTTCCTATATATATAGATGGCGTGTTATATAACTTTATTATAAAATAAATGAAGCTTCCAGGGTTAAGTTTCTTGTTCAAATTTTTATTTTCAAGTTTTCAGACTTGTCAGTCCTTCAACAGGAGTATCACGACAACAAATTGATGGTATATATACTATTTTTATATTCAAATTATTTTTACATATTTAATTTTATAAAGTTTTGATTTAACAAAAAATAATAATAATAGATAGAATATTTACATATTAGATTACATAATAGAATGTTTACAAAAAAAAAAACAACTTTATATTAATGTACGTACTATATGTGTG